TCACACCGCCGCAAGAAGGTCTCGCGATGCGTCGAAGGGCAATCGTACCGATCGGCGCCTCGGGGGCGCATGCCCGGTAGTTGTTGGGCATCCCTCAGAACGGAACTCCTTGAAACTGACAGCAGCATGAGCAAGCTTGTAGTAGGAAGCCTAAAGTAGAAGAGACATGTAAAAAGTCACTAGAGAAAGTATGTAAGACAATGTACCAACGATTGAAAGGACAAAAATCTTGCTCTACTCATCCGGCGTGGCCGCCCCATAAGCGATGAGTTGCTGCTGAAAGCACTGTCATGCACAGTTGAGCCCCATGGGCGATTGATCACTTTGACCTGTCTACTGAGAAAATACAAGTAGGCATTCAGCTCTATGTCAGCAACCTCTGCGTCCTGAACAACAGCTGGCAACAGGCCATCATCGGTCAACCGGCTCAGGCTGCCCTGGTGCAAAAAGGCAGTGCGGTAGTGCCCACTATCCCTGGAGGGTCCAAGATGTATGACTATGGCCTCAACTGTATAGGCGTGGGAAGTGGTTCTTAAACCGTCACCAGTGAAGGTGGGGATGTAAACCGTGCGACTAGAGTGGATGCGAAACTTTAGTCCCATCTCCCCTAAACCTCCCAACTTGGACCACCAGCACTGCCGGGACAGTCACAAGCGCATGCCGCTGCGCCTGGTTGCGCCACTCGACAAACAACTTCTGTAAGCTCAAGTTCGGTGCTGAGGCATGGGCAACGCTGAGATGCAAAGGCCACACATGTCCGTGATCGGCCACCTGAACCACCGATGAGTCTGAAAGCTCCGGTCCTTCTGTCCTAGATTCCCAATACCCTTCGGCTGCAGACGGACTGAGTTGCGGCCTCAGAAAATGCAGAAAATCGGCCGCGTCGTGCTGCCGATGGGGCTCATGCCACCTTCGCACCAGTGCAGACCATGCACGTGTCTGCCAAAGGGATATGCGCAAGGGTTTTCGCAGAAGCCAGCCTATGAACCTTCTTATGTCTCGCTGCACTTGAAGGCCTAGGGGCAGGTGGGATGCTAGCCATATGAGAGCTAAGACAACCGAGTTAGCATAGCAATGGCATGAGGGGTTGGTGAGGGTGAGGAGCAGCGCCTGGGCCTCTGTGGGCTTCAGCGCTGTACCGCCTGCAGAAGCTGGTCGATGTGCACCGCCAAGGGGCTCCTGCCCAGCTGCGTGGGGCGTGCCGTTGCTCCCACCAGGTGGAGGCAGCCATTGCGGCACAAACGCCTCATGAGGCAATACATTTGATGTGCCTCCTGGGTGCGATTCTGAATCTGGAGCGCGAACGGGATCACTTCGCTCTCCATCGACTCGGTGAGCTTGCGCAGCGGATGAAACTTCCCCACAGTGTCCGGGAAGGAGGTAAGCTGGACTAGATAGTCCACGATCTCCACCGCCTTCGCATGAGCCAATGGCTCCTGCGTGCCCCGCTCGTACCGATGGTCCGTCGGGTTCCAGCGGAGATACAGGTAGCTCGTGCCGTCTGTCAGGCCCATCTCCTTGGCTTTGAGACAAATTTCCGTGTCTGTTTCCATGCTGCGGAGGCGGTCGCGAAGGGCAGCAAGGAGACAGTGCAGTAGCACCGTCCGCATCGGCTGAGTGAGGACCGTGGCATCCTCCGCTTTCTGGCGGTTCCACTCTTTCGCAACGGAGTAGAGCTGCTTTGTGATCGTCCAACCCTTTTCCGACTCCCTCGTCTGAAGGAACAGCATAAAGCTGGTGTCGAGGCCATAAACATTGAGGCTGTCCTCGATCCTCAGCGTCAGCCTCCCCGTTGCAACCACCAGGTCCTGCAGTGCAGTCTCCCGGTCCTGGACCCTCCGATCCTGGCGGTAGCCCCGGTCGTTGCGATCGCTCGCCCTGCGCTGTTGGCCCCACCAAGCTTGGCGCTGCTGTTGCTGGCTCCCTTGTCCGCGCTGCTCTTGCCCCTGCCTGGAACGCCGTTGCAAGGGTCGGGTAGGAGAGGGTGCTCGTCCCTTGCCCGCGGGCTCCGGGTTCAGAGTGGCTTCCGGCTCCGGCGGCTCGTCGCCTTTTCGGTCGCCTTTGGAGTGGCTGCGCGGCCACTTCGTCGTCGCGGCTTCCCCCGCCTGCTCTTCTGCCAGGCGCTTCTCCCTGTCCACCTCCATTCGGGCTGGCACAGAGTTACGGTCCGGAACCAGCTCTTCGCTCCCCTGGCAGTTCCGGGCACTGCCAGCTGCCGTCGACGGCTCCCTCGGTGGGTGACATGTACTCCGCCCACCTCTCGAGCTCCGCAGCTGCTTCCCGAAGCTCCTGAGTGTTCTTGTCGGCGGAAGCCATCTAGCTTGGTTTGTCCTGGATCATCCAGGGAGCTAAAGCGATGGAGAAAATGCCCACACATCCACAGTACGGTGCAGGATTTACGGTGCACTGCTGCCGGTCCTCGAAACCTGACACCACACCAGTTGCAGGGGCAGAGGGGTGGTGGCTTGGATTGAGCCCACTGTGCAACAGAAGCTTGAGCAGCTTCAATCTCAGGGTGCATGGCGCAGGCATGCCTAGCAACATACGATGCTCTTGCAGCCCACTGAAAACACAGTGGACAATGCTGGGTCAGGGCACTCTCTCTGATAGCCTTAGCTAGTTCGCGAACCTTGCGTTGCGCGGCAAGCTGCTGCAGTGCTGGTCTGTTGAAGAGAGGTACATCTGGCGGCGGGGCCACCTCTGGGCAGTCATTCCCCGGCGCGTACGCCCCATGAGCAGGAATGTCTGCAGAACTATTGTCCGCTGGCTCAGTAGAAACAGCGGGCAGGGAGGTTTGGTGGCCCTGCGCAACAGGCCATGTAGAGGCAGCATCCGCAGAGTGTTTCCTATAGTGCAGTATAGGGCAGGCTTGTTGCGAAAAGTGTCCCCTAAATTGCAGCCAACCATAGAACTTATGCTTGCAGTGACGACATTGTGGCATCCCATTCATCGAATGCTGTCTGTACTCCTCACATCGGACCTGCTTCGCCCGAGTGCTTTTGGCTTTATGAGGTCGCGTAGTCGCATGCTGCTTGCCAATATGAACACTGAGGGCATGAGAGGTGGGGAAGTATTGACCACATTCAAGGCAGACACAGCGAAAGCGCGCCACAGCAGTGACCTCCCTTAGCCTAACACCCAGCGCTGATTGATCCAGTGGCCCTACCGATGTTGCAGATGCAAGGCTATGTTGTACCAGTGTCCACCATTGTTTCACTCTAGGAGGTTGTAGGTGACCTATGGCCTGCTCGCTAGCCTCCACCCGTTTGCTACAAGCCGCCAACAGCATGGCCACAGGATCCTGCAGTCCAAGTCGCTCATACAGCCGGTCACTTGACTCATGCGAAATATGAGCAGGACTCCTGGCCACTAGTCGGACCTGTTTGGCTACTTGACTACGTAGCTTGTCAACTGACCAAGCGTCCAGGCCAACAGAGGTCAGGCCGTACTGCAGGATGGCCCAAACATACGTGCGCCACAGGCTCAGACGCCTGAGTACCGGTATTCCCGGGTGCTTGAGAAACACATGCAACCGGCTGAAGGCAATCCAGGACAGCTTGAGTCTCGCCGAAAGGGTGGTGCGTTCAAATTTGTGGTAGCCTATGTGGACCCCTAGGTACTTGTGGGAGTTCCGGATAGGAAGTTGTAGGGTCCCGTCTTCAGTGGGCAGGACTAGGACGCGGTCCCTGCCCTTCCAGCGAACGTGCTCTTTCAAAAGCCCCGGGACTTCCGGACCCTTCATGGCGAGCAAGATAACCGTTTTGTCCATGGCTATGCTCATGCCATACCGCTTGAAGACATCAAAGATGCGAAGGATCTGTTGGCAGGCATTCCTGAAGTCACGTGGGGTGGCGAGGGTCCAGTGCACATGAAAATCATCTGCAAAGCACGTGATCGCTTCCTGTGGGCACAAGGGGAGCAATTCATCATACAGTAGTAGGGTAAAGGCCAGCCATAGCAGGGGGGATAAGCCACAGCCCTGGCGAATGCCGGCAGCCAGGTCAACTGAAGCAGTCAGGCCGTGGCGTTCCAGTACTATAGATGCATTGTCATGAATGTACATGATAGCAGAGATGAGGTCCGGAGGGGCCGCTATCCTAGTCAATGCCTGGTGCAACTTGTCTCGTGGTATGCGATCATACGCTTTGGAGAGGTCGAACGAGACCTGCATCCCGCCACAGAAGTGGCGGTGCTGCACCCCTGCCCGCTTGTCAAACAAGGAATTTCGGTATTCGCCTAACTGCGTACGGATACATTGACAATGGCTAAGGACCCTGTCAAGAGCGTCAGCGGTTTGTCTAGATCTCAAATACGCGAACTGTGGAACCCTGTCCAGGGCCTCTTCCAAGTAAGGTCTTAACCTACCCGCTAGGATACGTGCTATGACCTTTGACATAGCAGGCAGCAGACAGATCGGGCGCAGGTTCTGCGGAGTCGTGGGAGGCTTTCCCTCCTTAGGGATGAGTACCATATAGGAACGGTGCCACGAGTCTGGGAAGTTTAAACGGCCTGGGCCTAATGCATGTTGCAGCTGATGCGTCACTACCGGAGCTAGAGCATCAACATTGTGGCGCCACAGGGCCGCCGGTGCATGGCCGTTCGGAAGAGCTTTACTGCAGGGAAGGGATGTCAAGGCAGACGTAACCTCACCTAATGTGGGCATCAAGCCTTCGTGAAGATACCAGTCGGGCACCGGCGGCTTGTCAGACTCCTGAAAAAGAGCACCAAGGTAATGCTTCAGCTGCTGGAGTTCCTCTTGCGCTGTGAGAAGCTGGCCCGCAGCGTTGCGAAAATGTATCGTGCGCTTCGATGACTTGGGCTTGAACCGGTGAATGATCCTATAAAGTCCCAGAACTCCCTGAGATGGCGAAGATTGGGCCTCGCGAAGAAGGCCCTCCAGCTGTTTCAGTTTTCTGGCACGGGCAGACTTGCGCATTTGGCGGTCCAGGCCATGAAAGTGGAGAAGGCTTCTCCATGCACGGATCCAACATCTTAGTCCATTCGCTACACCCGGAAAGACTCTACGGACAGCGTTGAGGCTACAGTCAGCGATGTACAAGATGACAGGACTGGAGTAATTGTCAGTGGCGGCCAGGGCATCGCGAACATCGCATTTGGCATCCCAAAACTGCTTGAGCGTGGTTTGGGTCAGGGAGTCCAGGCGAGGGTGCGGGGTGTCCTGCCTGCGTGCATCTGTCTGCTGTTTCCGCGCTGGTCGGGCTGTGGAGTGCCAGGTGTCCAGCAATGTCAGGTTGAGGTCTGCTTGCAACTCAGTGTGAAAAGCGACAGTGTGCTGGAATGATGAGGCAAAAGCAGGGTCATCTTTGAGGGTTTGTTGGGCCACTCTAGCATTCAGAGTTGGAGTTTTGGGTGTGTTTCGGGGAATGCTTGGCTTGAGAATACACCCCAAGACTGGAACATGCCTAAAACCCGTAGGATGGACGATGCTGGCATCCGGCCGACCTCTGGCACAAAGGCAGCGTGGGTGACACGGAAGCCGGGTAATGGCATAATCTAGCTGCGCTCCGACACCCGTGGGCCGCAAAAACGTGCAGGCGTGGTGGCCTGCCCTGGACCAGGAATTCAAAGCCGTATAAGGCCGTTCTGGCAAACCAGTCGCTGAAATTCACAACTATCCTGATGGGGTGCGGTGGAGCTGCCTGTAACCCCGGTACCCACATTGGGGGGGTGCGGTACAAGCGTGCAGTTGAAGTCTCCTAGCAACAGCAGGTGATTGCGGCGCGGGATGCCGGAGATCCAATTCTGGATGGCCCGCCAGACTTGCAAACGACGATCCATGAGTGCACGGACCCTGTCAGTGGCCGAACCCTTGAGGGCAGTGTGGTTGGGATTCCAAGCAAGCTGATAGACCCCTAAGAGATCCAATGGTGGTACAGTTGCGAGCCTCACATGGACTACTCTCCCTGCTATAACCTCACAGTGCTTGATCTGGTCCGGGCGGGCCAAGCTAGCATGGATCATGAACAAAACACCACCACTGGAGTCACCTAGTCCTGAATGAATGCAGTGCCATGATCCGGATGTGAACTCGGAGTTGCCGGCCCACTTGGTCTCTTGCACACAGACTATGGATGGCACTGTGCGGCCATGCACTGTGGGATCGTGTAGCCAGGCAAGGAGTTCCGTGAGCCGCGCAGCATGCAAGCCTCCGCTGTTCCAACATACAAATTGTAGGGTCGGGGTGGTGTGGTTCCCAGTAGGGCTGGACTCTACATGCGGTAGGGAGGCTGAGGTTCGGGCATCTAGTTGCATGGCGGAGAGGCTGCGGAGGTCGTGCTGGCGGCCTCTGTAGCGTGTGCTGCCATGCTGCAGCGCACGAATTTGTGCACGTTTGAAAGCTCGTTTGCGGGCTGTGGTTAGCTGAGACAATCTGCTGCCATGCGCTACGACTTCTGGCCTATGGGTAGGGTTCGGGCGCATATGGTGGGGTACGGTTAGAGAACGATGAGCACCAGCCGGGACTATGTGACTCAAGAACAGACCGATCCCAAACATTCCTAGTGTCAAAGGGGTGGGCCTAAACCTGAAGCGGGGGGAGTGTCGGGTCAAGGGCCGTTGCATCAAGCGAGCTTTTCGTGCGCAACGACTGGCCGGCCGTCACAATGGGCCGCATATCCTGACGACGGCTCAGGCGGCGCCGACGGTACTGACCTGGTATGACGCGAACCATAGCCCACGACATCGAGCAAGAGCATCGCAATGCCCGCCACAGGGAACCCAGCACGATGAGGAAAACAAACCCTGTGAGCCCTGAACACTGAATGGGAATCCTGGGATGCACATGTGGTGTCTGCACGGAACAGGAGCCTGCCAGTTCGACATGGAGGGCCAGTGCCCCTCTCGGAGTCTAAGTCAGGTCTGCAGGCCTATGCATCGGAATTGTACAGGAGGGGGGGGACGGGAGGTGGTGACAATCGACTGCAAACAGGTCATCGGAGTGATACACAGACTGCAAGTGCTTAGCACAAGGAGTTCCGGGGAAGCCTGGCCCTTGAGGACGGCCTTCGAAAACTTCGAAAGGGTCGCAATACTTCACCTCCGTGCAACAAAAAAGTGATGCGAGAGAGGCGGCTTCAGAGGGGGTGCAACCACGCCTACCCTCAACCCTCACGTCTGCTAGTGGCACACAACTCGTAACCATGTACATGTTACCGGCATGCGCTGTCAGCGGGCCTGTCCTCGAAATCATAGAGAAGGCGCGCCACTTGCCCCCGGACTTGGGACCGGGGCGGTCCAAAAAGCTGTAGTCTGCATTCCGCGAGATGTCGTGCCATCCGTCCCACAGCTCATTCCGGTGGAGGATCATTGGAGCCACGCGGAAGGACATGACGGTCCAATGTCTCGCCAGGCGGCTGTGCAGCGTCCTCGACGCCCCGTGGCAGAGCCAAAAACTGATGCCGCTCATATTCCTGGAACCACTGCTGGAATCGTAGCTGCTCGGAAGGGCCGAGCCAGGGCAACAGCACCATAATGTAGTCCTGGTACCACAAGGCAGGGGCCATGTTAAAAATGGTGTCCGCAACCTCTTGCACCAGGCCTTCTGGTAGTCGCTGTCGCAAGCAGGAGACCACGATAGGCCAGAGTTGCTGTTGCATGGCCGGCTGCTTCGGGCAAAACTGGTTGCCAGTGGTAAGGATCCACGCCCGGTCGTTTCTGGCGGGCTGTCGACGCAGGCATGCCTCGAGCCAGGCGTAGTCGCCCCGCAGGGCAGAAGCGGTCGCATCATCCAGCTGGGCCGCCGATCTGGCAAGCACCTCTCCAGCAGGGAGTTCACTCTGCGTACGCCCCCAGGCAGCCATAGAGGCGGAGATGGCTCGGCTCGGACGGTTCTGAACTGTTTCCAGGTGGTGACGTCTAAACTGCCAGCAGAAAAATCTGAGGACAATATTGCAGCACCACTCCAGTGATCGAACAGTCCTTTCTGACAGGCGCAGCTGGGTTTCCTGAATGGTCTCCAGAGTGGCCTCGTCACGACTTGGGGGGTTTGGCGGGCCTCGCGTTGCACAATAATACAAAGGCCGATCCAGGACAGCATCGCTCGAGCCCCCCTCATTCGCAGAAAGAGAAGAGGAGTCGGAGAGGCTCGCGAGATCATCCGACGACGGCACCGATCGAGGCATTGGTGCTCTCGCATGGAAGCAGAAAAAGTGGTGCTGTGCTCGGACCGAGACGCTTATATATATATATACACACACAT